GTTCTGAAGGCAAAAGGGGGTCCAACCCGTTACTAGCGTGGTGTACCTAATAAAGTGGCCGGTGAGTGTATATTCTATAAATCTTTATTATATCACTTTGTATTGTTCATCCATCCGTTTCCTCACCTAGTTTTTCCATGCTGGTTTGCAACTGTTACCAATTAACCTAACATGCATATTTCAGGTTTGTACCCTGAATCCACACAAGCACAGAAAGGCCGGGAGGTGAACCTGCGACCTGTGAGGTGACTCAAATCCCTGTGGATTGCATCACACCGCCACATTTCATGAAATCACAATGCATTTTATCTCATTGCGTTGTGTTGCACTGTGTTGTATCACACCMCACCAAATCATACTTTATTTATCAGTGTGCTGAACATTCAAGGGGAAAGTGCTTTTCTGAATTCAGAAAGACTGTTTGGGGTATGAAAATGAAATAAAATGTAAAAAACAAAGGCCACTAATATTTCGTTTTTTTAAACTCACTGTTCTTATATTTCACTATATTGTTTACTAAACAATAAATTTAAATGTTATACACTTTAAATCCTAAATYTAAATGTAAAACTTAGTTAAAGCTTACATCTTTGCTGTTGTCGTGCAACTTTTGTGACATCATCCTGCATCAAAAGCGAATGCTAACGCTGCTAATGCTGCTGAAGAWGGTATTTAAAATCTAAATTCMAAATGTGTTCAAAGAAAACAATATGGATGATACGTGTGGTACGGCAGTTTGAAGTTTTATGTCTTGTAGGGAAAAGTCAGCAGAGTTAGAGTTAGCAGCATTAGCGGTTATAACATTCTAACAAAAGCTGAGCTCCAGTGTCAAAGGTTGTTTCATACTTAGATGTAAATTTTAACATTTAGCCACACACAAAACTGAACTTTTACATTCATATTTAGGATTTAAATGTGACATTTAACATCTACATTTACATTAGCAAAATGAAAGAACAGTGAACTAAACAATATGTTAGTGGAAGTTTAATGAAAATGTGTTAGAGACATTTTCTAACATTTATTTTACACTAAAAGAATGTTATGCTTATTTTCTATTTTTAAATTGTAACATTTTGAATAGTGGAACTATTTTGTTAGGAGATGTTTATGTTTTTATTTAGTTGGTGTTTATACAGAGGGGATGAATGCTAAAAAATGTGACATTTTAAAGTGAGACAAAATAAAAACCTTCTCTCCAAGAGCAGAAACTTTAAAAAACAT